CCAAAAAATGACCGCTGCAGTTCCAAGTAAAGCTGCGATTCCAATGACGCTGAGCCAAGCAATCTGCGAGAGAGACTTAAGAAATGTCGACGGAAGAACCACAACGGCTGCAATGCACGTCCAGTTGACAACGGTCAAGGGCAATGAAGGGAAAGCCGATGCCATCAGAGAGCCGCAAACGATTAGGTAGGATGTTGCGATGACAGTTAAATCAAAACATTGAATAGCAACTATCATAGTCCCACCAAATCTCGGCCACATTTCTTTTCCGATTTCATTCCAAGAAGAGCGCACGCGCATGCGTCTATGGAGATTGTCTTTCTTGTAAAGACATTCGATCAGTATTTTCGCAGTGAACCAATAGATAAAGGGCATGATAATAAACGCAGCGATCCCTGCAATGCCACCTTTGGCGATAGCGAATGGAAGTGCTAAAAAGCCAACTCCTTCGATAAAGTTGATAATGTTTAGGGTTGCCTTCCACACAGAAGCGCCGCGTTCTTTTGGCGATACGGCGATTAGCGGCGTCTCTTCTGGCATACAAGTTGCGACAAATACTCCAAAGGTCAAGTCATCATAGCCTTCTACGGGGTTCGCTTTTTCCTCGTCTGAGGACTGATAAGAGGAATTCAAGGGCGCAACAGCGAAATTCTTCATTGATGCTGAAAGCAGGAAGATATATTTGATTAATTATTTAGCTTATTAGAAGTCTGAGCATGCGTGGTTCTGTAACCCTGTGATAGCTTTGTAACAGTGCGGTTAAGGGGAAACTAGCTGCAGAGCGTATCACGCTTAGTGGAAGGCACCATAGCTTGCAAGTAGACCTTCACTAAAATCACCGCCACACGAACGTTTCTCCGCCCGCGAGTAACTTTTAGTCTTCTTTACTTAACGCCCTCAGCTTCATTTCTGCTAAAAATGGGTTCTGCCTGCTCTCGGACTAAGTCTGCCTCCTATTCTGATCAACTGATCGACTGATCGACTCTGATTCTCTAATTTTGATCGACTGTTCAACTCTGATTCTCTAAATGTGATCGACTGACTACGGCTGTGAATCACAATTGAACTGACTATGGAAGATTAAACATTTGTTGTCAAAGCAATAGCCCGAACACTTTCATCAGAATCTCGAAAAGGAACAACAAAGTACCTTATGCCTCCGATCAAACAATCAGTCTTCGACTTCGAAAGCCAAAACAAAGAAGTTTACTGTGGGTCTAAGACGGAGTCAAAAGACAAACTATCAAGACAATCAAAATCAGGAATCTCATCGTGATGGCTAAAACCCAAACAACTCTGGACTTAGAATTCAAATCTTAACTAAATGCTGGTTAGTTAAACAGAGCTTGGTTTATGCTGGATATAAACAAATCACCAAATCATAATTTACTATAGCCAAACACTTCATAACAGCTTGCGGATTATATTACCGCGGAAACGAACGGTCTAATAATTATGTTAGTTCTCAATAATTTATTTTTTCGAAGTTGAGAAGTTCGTGGCTTTAGAGGGAGTTTGAATGAATAATAGTGATGCCCCGTTCTATGGAAAGTGTCCATGTCCATCTGTAAGGTTTTCAAGCAGTTTTCACCCAGGCTTAAGCTTCCTGTGAACAACAATTAACAAGCCCGAAAATTTCACTTGTTATACATGACAGTAAATAGGATGTCAACAACCAATCTTGAACAAAACAATGAACAGAATCAGACTCAGACAGAGCATTCAAACAGTACGTTACGCCCCACTAAAAACAATAACCCGAGCATCTGAAATCAAACCAAGTCATGCGAACATGAGAGCTAGAAAAGAAGTGCAACCTAGAACATGCGATCGCACTCAAGAAAACACCTTTTGCAGTAGAACTGAGATTTGCAGCACTTTTTGATAAATTGCCCGAAAACGATCACCAGCGGGCAATCGAAAGTCTTCATCCACATCGGAAATGGTGACATGGCGCGGAATCGGATTCATATGTTTGCGCAAAGATTTCTAGGATTTCCTCAGGGCAAACATTGCAAGTTGTTGAAAAGAAATTTATGGAGAAAGGTTGTTTCGACGTCCAAAAAACGATCTTGGAGAGAGATCAACGCTTTTTCGCCGTAGTTTTATCATAAATGGATTTAGATGATATTGATGCGCGGGAGAGTAAGTTTTTGTTAACATTACCACGAAATATGTTATAAAATATACCGATTCACTTCTCTCCTTGCGTTAGGTCTGTAATATAATTGTGAAATCATTATCCTGTGATGGTCTCGACGTATTACAAAATTAGCCTCAAATAGCACGGATATAACTTTTCCAGTTGTATTTTTGTATGTACAGCCTGTTCTCATAATTGTTAGCGTTTTAAATAAAAATTACGATGTCTGAAAATGTACCTCCTCAAAGGAGAGAGGTCGTCGCTGTTGCTCTTTGGAAAGATGAAACAAGCGATGAAAAACAAAAGGAAATCCCGAGGCCAAGTGATAATTTGACGAGAAAAATCAAAAGGTTTTTGAGCTACCACTTATTTTCTCGAACTCCAAGAGGGATCTTGTCAGGAAAAGCAAGATTACGGGAACTCCGGCAGAAATATGGACGTATATATATTTAGTTGAGTATCGCTCTTTAAGCGACCCATTCGTACCTACTCATCGTCGCATCAGAAAGGGTTCAGTTTTGAGCCGATTATCAACGCTGGTTCGTCCTTATTCATTAAACATAACAAAGAGGCAATGTATGTGTTTAATCACTTAAATATGTCATGATAATATTTAGTGCTTAAGCACGGCATATGATAAAAAAGGAATGGACCATTGGACCCTTGGACTATTTTTAAAACTATTTTTGGACTATTTTTTGGACCATTTTATTGGGGAAGGGAGGTAGACCATTAGGACTTAGAGAGGGGTGGGATGCAGTCTGTCACTACTCAGGAAGGGGTAGGAGGCAAGCTATTAGTACGCAGGGAGGGGTGGGAGGTGGTTGTATTAGTAATTGCTACTGATTAATGGAGTTTTTAGTGGATCATACAATTTAATTTGAGCGGTTTTTGGACTGACTATTTTTTATGTCAGAATTTTTGCGCTGGGTCGTAACGTCTCTTTATTTTTTTTTCATACGAATGCGAAACTGGCACTTAAACACTCGACTAAAATTGCTATTGGAAATTTTGCTGATTCTCGTTTTCGATCCTCCACTGTTGGGTCACGCGTGTGCCTTTTAAGTCGACTTGTGTCAGCGCTTAATGATACTCACTGGCTAGCATGAATCATCCACCAGTTGCTTCGCGTTTCCCTTTGTGAATAAAGTATACTATTACTAAATTTATCTCCCTTCCTTTTGTCATTGATCTTATCACACGAAAGAGATGACGGAATTTCCGGTCTTTAGTATTCGTTTATCGTTTACACCATTACTATAAAAACATTGTTGGTAGTGTCGTACAAAGCAATCTTCTCTCTTTTCAGATACACAGCTATGACTTAACAGAAGTAAATAAGACTGAAAATACTTTATTAATAAGTTTTTCATGGCGATTTAAAACTGATATTTCTAAAGCTCGAGATCAATACGCGATGTTCATTACGCAATGTCCATTACGCGATGTCCATTACACAATGTCTATTACGCGATGTCAATTAAGCGATGTCAATTACACTAAACTCTAGCGCATGGAGAGAAGTAATCGCCAGATTTCACTGTATATTTCACGGTTGATTAAACAAGTCACTAGATTACACTCACGATATTTATTTTCAAAAAATTGTCGAACATGAGGCTCAACTTAAATACAGTAATCAATAAAACCATGCTACAGACATAAAGCCTCTGGTCACGAAAATTACCGACTTCTTAGTTGCGTAACATTACGCAAACGTACGATCGCATGCACGGAACTCTCTTCATAGCGAACTTAACAGCCAAATCTTTTCACAATTTTGGGTATAAGACAGTTTATATATATTCAAGGAAGTGTTTTTAATGTTCTATCGTTTTCGTAAGAAGAGCAATATCAATTTCTGACATTTCTGATGTTTACATTTTGGAACTAGTAGCACATTTAGTTCCTTCCGTAATAGAAACTATTATAATAGAAGGACTGTTGTCAAGGAGATGCGATTCATATCCAAATTGAATGGGACTTACCTTGCAGTTAATTTTCACAGCTGGCTGGATTTATAGGGTTGTGATTGTATCACAACATCTTTTCTTCGCCGTTCAATGACAACTGATACTCTAAGTAACAAGGGTGTCAATGACGTAAGAAACCTTTGTAAGTTTCTTAATATGGCCGTGTTGATAAGTACATGTACAATTTTCTTTTTTGTCTCCTCAAAGCACATCTCAAGTTACCGGTGGTCAGTGAGGGCAGGAACTTTTTTCTGCCTTCACCTCGGTATAAAAATATTTTTCGTACGATAAATTTCCTAATAATTCATCGCAATTTTTTTGGTTTCTATGCCCCTCTTTGCTGCAATTTTATCCCGTAAACTGTTCGTAATTTTTTGTATCACCGACATTTCCACAAGCTCCACACTGTCGCTTTACATTAATAATGTTTTAGTGATGATTTGCTTGACTTCAATCGAATTCGTGATAGACTGAAAAAATTTCGCTCAAACGTTGAACCCACAATTGTTTATATTTTTTCATCCATCACTGAAATTGAGAAATAAAAGGGGGAAGCAACAAAGATTGATTGATTGTTATTTTTTGGTTGCCTGTGATGGCCCTATCAAGACAAAAAAATGATGAATGCAAAATTGTGAAAAGGTGTAATGCACAAATTATCATACATATCGGGGGGGGGGGGGAAGGGGGTAAAGAGGGGAACATTGCTGCAAACACCTTTCTTCATCTACAGTAGAGTTCTTTTCCCTAACGTTTACACCTAAAGATTTTTTTCACCATTTTCTCTTATATTGATGTATAGGCATGACAAAAGTAAACCACAGTCAAATGTGATTTTCACATTTTCTTTCATTTGCAGCAACAGAAGAAAATAGTAACACAGATTGCACACATGTAGAAATATCAGAAATTTATTTTTAGCATCACTTCATCATCACTGAGTGATTAGGTGCCAGCACTTTCCACTCTTTCTTTGTTTGTCATTTCCTCATCTTCATTGACTGGTAACAGAGGTTTGGTTGATGTGAGTGTGTATGATCCCATTCCTGCAGCTCTCTCTGCTTCTTCTGTTGTGTAAGGCACTTCTCTTAACATTTTCACTCTAAAAATATGTAAGTAAAAAAAATACAGTAAGTAAATAAGTATTTGTGTTACAATGTAGCTACACCTCATAAAAAGTGAGCCAGTACAGTACATGAAAATGTCAAAAGGCTCTGCATAAAAAAAAAGAAAAAAAAAACAAAAGGGACCTGCTTGGACACTCCCAAATGAACCTGAGAAGAAGCCCTCTAAGGAGTAAAATAATAAATAAATAACATAAATTATTTCCTTTCGTATGCTGGCTGACCTTTTTCAAATATCACAAAACTTTTTCCAATGCTAGCATTAAAACCCTCATTGCAAAATGCATGTCTGACTGCGCATAAACCATATCTGTATTGTAAGAATATTAATTTTCATAAGACCAAAAAAAATTCAATTAATAGTTGTCATCCCTTTAAAACTTAAGACCCTTAAAAATGAGAAATCAGTCCTACTATTGACTTCTACTTCCACACAGCCACCAATCATGTGAAAAAAATATGTAAGGTTGAAGATAGGTAACCTACTTTTTCCTATGAACTCTAGATCTCATGTGATCTTTCAGGGCTTTTTCTTCAACAAAGTATCTTCTAAAGACCAAAAAAAAAGAAGAACTGTTAGTTCCTTGCAATTTCAAAATAATCAGAGAAGTCTGACAAAGCTAAGTAAATGCATTAGTGAGAAGTTCTTCAGTAATTTCTGATATAACAAAACTCGGGTTTTTGTTGATAAAATGGGCTGTAGCAGAGTGTCATTGCACAATCAAGTCGTCATTAGAAGAGGGATTCTTCTATGCACATTTTAAATTTTCTTTTTCAGTTTAAAGTAGGTTTTGTTTCACTCTTTGGTGCTCACTGATAATGACCTCTTCAAATGTTTGCCCTCTATTTCTCACATACAAGCATACATTTTATTAAGTCTCAGATTTACAGACTGAGGTTAGACTGTTAATGCTAATATCTTTCAGCTAACTATTGGGATACCTAACCATATTGCTATAAATAATCAAAGAGTAAAAAACTCACTACCTACATTGTAACTACCAGTAATTACTAATTTACTGACTCAAATAATAAAGCAATATAAGTATAGTAAAATATAAAATATTATAAATTTTACCCAATTAAACTTTAATTAGGTATCAGCTGATAACAAGAATTAAGGAAAAATCAGAATTAGTGCAGTCTAAGTTGCAAAGGGAGTTGCAGGATTTACTATCAAACAACTGAGGGAGCTGAAGCTTTAAGGATTTTTAAAAGACTCAGACTTAAAACAGAAAATCTTCTTAAAAAAGAAATAGGTTCTTCAAACAAAAAAAAATTTTTAAACCAGCAGTACTCTAAGATAAATTATAATAAAGTTCGGATATAATGTGTGCTGTCATTGGTTGAAAGAGCGTGCTCTATGAGAGTATAGAGCATAGAACTACAGCTGTCACGCCATCTACCAATTGTACTATGTTCGAGCTTTTCCGGGACTTCTTTTTAGCTTTTTTCTGATAATTGAAAGTGAAATTTTGGAACTGAAGTGAGCCGGCAAGTAGCAACAGAAGAATCAAACAAAGGTTTGTAAACATACCAGGCGCCATCCTCAAAGGAAAAACAAAATAAACATTCCGAGTTTTAAAGATTTTCATGCTCAGTTAGATTGCAAGCTTACGTACGGTAATAAAAATCAAACACAGCTAACACTCGTATAGTATACAAAGTTCAGTGTTCAAAAACAAAACAGAACAAAACAGAAATGATGAAAAATATAACCAAACTGGCATAATTGTTAAAATTCATACTAATCATGACGGTGTCTGAGCGAATATGATCATGCTAAGTTCATCGCAGCTCGCTCATCATGGTGATCTCCAGTCATCACAGTAAAGCAAACCTCAGAAACTACATCGGCCGCCTTTCGAGTGAAAAAATAAGAGCTTGCTCTGATATCCTTTCCGATATGTTGAGTGGCAATTCACATTAGTCACTGCAGCTGAGTTTTGCGGCACTGTCATCACATGCGATCTTCATGTTCCAGTAAATTCGGCTGTCGTTCATTCAAAAAACACTTGCCTTGAACAGTTTGTTTTCTACCTTGTCATGTGAAAAAACTCGCGTGTTTTTATGAGCCATAATTCAGCTGAAGTTCACTGAACATTTAACTTCAAGATTCTGTATTAGAGACTTAAAAACTTCAGGCAAAAGTGTTAAATTCAACTTGCCGAACTATTTTAGTTTGTAAACTATCATAGAATGTAAACTTTGATGGTTTTTGAACTTTGATGGTTTGACACTTTTGACAGCTTTAGTCTTGTAAAGCCAATCAGATTATTTGAACCATTCTAACAGGGATTCTGATTGGCTTATTGTAGCGTGCTTTATGAGAGTATAGAGCATGCTGACGACATTGTTGTTCGCTTTGGAAATAAAGTTTGTTTTGAAAATTGAAAGTAATGCTTGGGTAATTTAACGGATTCTTTATTATAAAACAAATAGAGAAGCCTTGACTGTGCTCTGTTCTGTTATAAAGCACTTAGGAAGCGGCTAAAGCACTCAAGAAGTGGGAAGAAACACTCGACTACGTCTCGTGTTTCTCCCTACACTTCTTTCATGCTCTAGCTGCTTCCTGCGTGCTTTATAACAGAACAGAGCACAGTCAAGGCTTCTCTATTTGTTAATTAGGCACCATGGGAAAATAACTTTGGTCTTATGGCAACTTTAACATCTTTCCTTTTCATAAAAGTGTCCAGGAACTGGGCACCCCAATTTCTCTGATGAGAGAGCACATCTTTATAGAATTTAGTAGCGAAGCAAAATGCTTTTCTTTGTTTATTCCTTTTACTATCTGGGCCACCAGCACAATAAAGGCAATTTCAAAAAAAAAAAAAAAAAATGGACAAACATTCCACTAGTTTTCCCACATCTCTCTCAATTTCCAAAATGTTTGAATTCCTTCTTTGAATAAAAAATGAGAAAACTGCTATGAGCAAAAATGAAATAGTATCCATTGAAACATTACCAACCACAGTTTCAGAGATAAGAACTTCTGTTAAAACACTTCCCCCTCCAAACCAACCTCTCCTAGCAACACCATTTTTGTGAGACTTTTGTTTCATACAACAAGGCATTCCACACTGTAGAACATTCCACCATTATGCAATTCCACCATTCCATCATTCCATCAATTAGGATTTCCCTTTTAAATTCAAGTATTTCTAATAATGCTCTTTTCGGCAGTATTTTCTGATTGAAATGGCAAAATCTTCTCTCGTTAAATAAATAAAATTTTTCTTGAAAGTTTCTATGATGTGCAGATTAAACATATTTAGATATTTCTGAAAGGAAAAGTCTTGATTTCAACAAAGGCCATTGTGAAATTTTTTTGAGATGTTTATCATCGTTTGTAATGTTATGGCACGAACTGAGAAAATTATATTCAAACAATAACATGATCTCTCTTCAAAGAAAAATTAAGATGGTTACCAATGAGAACTACAAAGGTACTATGAAATGAATAATAAGTCTCATTGTGTCAAAGTCAGGTAAAGCTCAGCTTCTATTTAACAAATAGAGAAGCCTTATCTGTGCTTTGTTCTGCGGCTAGAGTGTGAAAGAAGTGTAGGGAAAAACATGAGTAGTAGTCGAGTGCTTCTCCCCCCTTCTGGAGTGGTGAACAGTGTTCTACAATAAGTCAATCTACAATATGCCAAGTGTACTCCAATAAGCCAATCAGTATCCTTACTGGAATGGTTCAAATAATCTAATTGGCTGTACTAAATCTAAAGCTGTCAAAAATGTTAAACCATCAAAGTTCACATTCTGTAATAGTTTACAAACTTAATAGTTCAGCAGGTTGAATTTAACTCTTTCACCTGAAGCCTTTTAGTCTCTAATACAGAATCTGAAAGTGAAATGTTCAATTAAATCAATAGTTTACTAACTTAATAGTTCAGCAGGTTGAATTTAACTCTTTTGCCTGAAGCCTTTTAGTCTCTGCTACAGAATCTGGAAGTGAAACGTTCAGTGACATCTGGCCAAATTATGGCTCATAAAAACATGCAAGTTTTTTTCACATGAAAATTAGAAAACAAAGTATTTAAGCATCTGTTTTATGAATGAGCAACAGCCAAATTTACCAGAATATGAAGACTGCTCAGGATGACAGCACTGTCAAACTTGGCTGCAGTGTCTGATGCAGCCTTCCACTCAGTGCCTTGGAAAGGATATCAGAGCAAGCTCTTAGTTGTTCTCTCAATGCTATAACCGGAGATCGCCATGATGAGCTAGCCACATTGGACCTCAGCATGACATTGTCATGATTAGTATGAGTTTTAACAGTTACACCAGTTTGGTTGTATTTTTCATCATTCCTTTTCTGTTTTGGTTTTGAACACGAAACTATATACACCACACAAATGTCAGCTGTGTTTGATTTTTATTACCCTAAGTAAGCTTGCAATCTAACTGAGTGTGAAAACCTTCAAAACTTGGACTGTCCATTTCATTTACTCTTTAAGGATTTTCGTCTCTGCTCATGTTATAACAACATCAATTATGGTGTTTGGCATGTTTATAAACCTTTGTTTGGTTCTTCTGTTGCTATTTGCCGACTTGCCTGTTTCAACATTTCACTTTAAATTAAAGAAACAAAACTAGGGAAAAGTCCTGGAGAAAGTCGAACATAGTACAATTTGGCAGATGGCGTGACAGCTTGAGCTCGATCAGCTCTATGCTTGATACTCTCATATAGCACGCTCTTTCAACCAATGACAGCGCGCACTATATCTGAACTTTAATATAATGTTACTTAACATCACTCATAACATCTATGGCTTCACCTCCTATAAGGAGGCAGTAGCCACACAAATAATAGGTCTCCCTATATTGCAATTATAATTAAGGCAACATCCATTATAAAGATACTTACGCGCATTGTATACAGTAATATTGTCCAGCACCTGGTAAATCCATGTCACACTCTTGTGATTTTAATTTAGCAGCGTTCTTTGGTTGCATGTCCTCGTGGATTTGGTCCAAGTCCTTTGTTCGCCTTCTGGTTCGATACTTTTTCTTTAGATGTTTGTCGTTCTTGTGCATTCGTTTTCTCCGCAAGCGGCCCATATTTAAAAATCTTTCGTGACGTGAGATTCCGATAAAATCAACGATGGAACTGCAAAACAACTAAGAAGAATATCGTTGCGCAAATTACGGATGTGTTTAAGATGGCCGACGAGCGTGGAATATTCCAGGCGTTCCTTAAAAGATGAGGTAAACTGGGAAAGTGAGAAAATATCTGTCTAGGGTCACGCTGGGAATGGGCTAACATATGAAATAAAAAAAATAAAACATACAACCGATTCTCTATTTGAAGAAATCCAAATAAAATTGATGTAAGAATATTTAGATTCACAATTAACTCAAACCTTTTTCAATACTGTCAAACACCAACAAGCTATTAAATCCAAAGTTATAAATGCACAGCTCTCCCCTCCTCCTCCCCCCCCCCCACCCTTCACAAAACTTTTATTTGACAACTTTTGGCCACTTTCTTATGATGATTTCGTGTGGCGGAAAGCTGTTTATCTAATCTCAAATGTGGTAAATGACGTTTTCACGACTGAAATGGGCGCAGAAATTCTCATAAATACTTTTATAGGGATTTAATTTGTCGTTTCGTTCATGGAATAAAGGTATCGTGACAGTTATGAACGAGTCGCTTCCTGTATTCGGAAGCCATTTCGGAGAGCAGCAGGATATTTCGACCTCGTCTAAATCGTCGGAAGCCAGAAACAACTTTCTCTTGGACGTGAACAGCTCAGGTGACGAAAATGTTTCTTTCAGAAGGTCAGAGAGCCTATCACCAGGTGGAACCAGGAGGTACGGTATGACAGATTTTGGTGATTTGGCTGGAGAGGAGACTGATCTACTTGAACAATTTGACCCACTTGTTTCCTCTCAAAGTATAAGCTCAAGTTTGGCGGACGAAGACACTTCAAATATTACAAAGCGATCCATCCAAAGATTAGACTCACGGGACAAAATGGAACTACATCGGGGTTCTGGACTAATGTCCGGCCGTGTTAACGAAACAGAATTGACAAGTTCAACAGTTGATAGTTCAGATGGTGTCTCTCATATACGGCTCGGTTATGATGCAAATAACACGACTTTGGAGAGTATCATCACTACTAAACACCATGAAAATGCTGCAGTGAAGAGCGGTAAGGTTTCTGTGTGTGCTGTCATGAGTTAATAACATTAATTATAATCCGTTAGCCCTACTAGAGTCAATTTTCATTGGTTGTCAGTTTATTTCAGTTCACGTCTTGCACGTAGTGTTATTTACCAAGAGCGATATATTTGAGTTTCCGCCTTCTCAATAATGGTATTTGAAATCGAACGCATATGAGCAATTGATTACTCTGAGGATGCAAAAGATAAAAATGAACATTTTGAGAAAATTGAAACTGCCTGTGTCTGTGAAGGTGTAATTAGTCGTGTGATGGTCCATAACAAAGTCAGCACGTATGTAATATGAATGTTTTTTTTTGGATGTCAAGAAAAATGTGATAACTTCAGATATATTTGAACAATTTAGGGATAACCATTGAGGTATCAAGAGTTATTTGTGTCTTTTTTCCCTTCATTTACAAGCCAGCTTAGTTGGATATCATTTTCCTTTAGTTGTATACCCAAATTATTCAAGCAGTCCCTCCTCTTTGGCGAGGTCTGTCGCATGAGTCATAAAACATCAGTGAAAAAAATGATGATGCGCAGCAGGAGCTCCATTAGTGAGGGGCTCGAAAAGTAAGGACTACAGACTAAGCCCAAGAGTTTTTCCCTCTATGGCTGAGTAGATTTCAGGTATCAAATTTTAAACTCAATTAGGTATAACTGATGAAATTCATTATCTTAATTACCAGTCAATCTTCATGTTATCACAACACACAGGTGGTCTTAGAAAATTATACCATTTCAAATTTTGAGGTGCACAATAAATTGGAACTCTGTAAGGATGCCCTTGTGAACAAAACTCCTAAGAAGATAATTGAGAAGGGCAGGCTGGTTAAGGAACCATCGTAGAACAACTTTTGCCATGTGTGTGCTAGTAATTGGTCTTCAGAGATAGCATTCATGCAGTCTTCATCCTTTCCTGGTGACTGAATGGCTGGAGGGCCAAGTTCTTTAACTTGCTCCACCACAATGTTAATAAGCAGTGAAATTACAAGGACACATGCTATGGAAATTTTTGCAAAACAAAACACCTGGTAGACAACACTCTTTTCAAAGCCAGTTGGCAAAACTGTGAGAACATCTGTCTGTCCTTAGTCTGCTCTGATTCCAGCCAATGAATGGTTGGAAACTGCATAAACATTTATGCGAGTCATCAGCCATCTGAAACATTGACAAGCGTGGACACGGATGACCACTTCTTGAGAGATTTCCGGCCGATGGCCAATCATATTTTTGCCTTGTGAGCACAACATAGAATTCAAACTCTTGGGCTTAGTAGGTAGCCCCTACTTTTCAAACGCCTCACTCCTAGAGCTGCTGCCTTGCATCCATGTCACTCCAAGAGCTTCTTGTGGCACGCCAAGATCAATCTTTTTTTCACCAGTTTTTCTTGACTAGTACAACTGGTTTGCCAAAAAGGAGGGACTGCTCGTAGTCTATAATAGAAGGCTAGGCAAACTAGGAAATTGTGAATCAACTGTAGCAGATTCTTTAGTAAACCTGAGTTCAAGATTAAAATCCATTGATAATTTAACTGCAATTTGGATGTTTTACTGTAGGGTTAGTTGATCCTTATTACAATCTTACAACCATGAACATTGATGCTCTGCCCTTCTCTATGTTGTGCTTTTTTACACCCTAGTGGTCATTGATTGCAGCAAGATATATTGGGGAGGAGAAAGATCCCTACAACTTAAATTGTTTTGCGAGGCAACACTCTTACACATCAAACTTTTGATCAACAAAATTTTTCCATCTGGTGACAGGAAAAAGTATTCTGTCACCATTTGACAAATGTGAAGGGTATAAATGGGGATCTTAAGTGCAAAAAAAGTTTTTTAGATGCAGATAGCATCCAGAAGCTAAAAATTCTCATTCCTGGTGCTCACCACACCTTTTTGCTCAATACAGTTTGGTATTAACATGCTAAACCAACCACTTTACTGTCAATACAATGGGATATAAACAAGATAATACAAGAATTATTCCTCTAACATCTCAAAAATGGCTCTGCTCTGAGTTTCTCCTATGTAGGGAAGTGGCAATAATTATAGTGGTCTCGTGCTCAAAATGTGTCTGCTGGTTTGTAACTTGACCCTACAGCTGTACTGATCTTAACCTTCTTCATCATATAAAAGTCATCACTATTTTTTAACATACACAGCAGAAGGAAATACACCAGAAGTGAAACTTACAGGTTCAATTCATGAAGGTTTGAGTGCACTGAATGACAACTTCCGTGATATTGCTCAGCATCGAATACTATCAGTAGCTGGTGAGAAATGTTTTTTTTTCTTTTTAACATTGTAATGGTAAGGGGTTGTACAAAATGTTCATGGTGACTTCTTAATTTTCTTACTTTAGACAGGGTATTTGAGCAATCTTAGCTGAATTTCAAGACCTCACCTTACATTTACATTTATTAAAACAAACATTTGGATTGGCTTATGATTAGGTCACACAGTATAAGTTTTATTGCAACCAAGTTAGATTACAACAAAAAAGATTTGTAATATCCACAGCCTCTTTGAGAGAGAACCATTCAGTGTTACATGACTGTTGCATTTTTCTGTTTTATATGTACTTTGTATTGCAAGTAATATGTGTTTTTTAATTCTACCTTAAAACATCGAAGCACTTCCTTTATTTTAATTCAGGTGATGATAAAAGTGGCAGGCCTGTGATTGTTTTCTCTGCATGCAGAATGCCACAAATATCCTCCATTGATCACACAAGGATGTTCAGGTAAAAACAAATATATCAAAATGCTTGTAAACTTTAATATTTTCAGGGTAAAAATTTAAATTAAATTGTGGTTACAGTCATGGGGTAACTTGCACAATACTGACAAATTGGGCAAGAGAAAACAAGCAGTGAATTGGCTCTTCTTGTTTTAGTGGTAAAAACAGAGTGGCCCAATATTATACAGTAGATAGCTGGAATCATTAATTGTTCATTTTCTGTGGCACTGTAAATCAAACTTGGGAAGAGTATTGTTACACAGAAGGGTAGGCCACAGGGAAAGCCCTTTGATTACTCTAACATTCAACCTTCATTCTTGACCAGGTACTTGTTATGCACTCTGGATCAGTATGTGGAGAATGACTACACTATTGTGTACTTCCATTATGGGTTGACAAGCAAGAACAAGCCAACGATGTCAAAAGTGATACAGCTTTACCGTGACCTAGACAGGAAGTAAGATTTTAATTCCATTTTACTAAACAGGACTTGAATATGAAAGCTGAGGTACAGTAAATTTTAACAAGTCAGTACACATGGACAGTACAGACAACAAAAAACAAACTTATTTAACCCCCATTAGAATGATCTTCAATTCAGCTTAGAGTCAAGCTCTCCATTCACTGCAGCTTTCTTTTGTATTGTGACTCAACAAACACTGAAACTTGCACACCATAAAATCATATAAAAAAAAAGCTTTTGTCGTTTCAAATTTTATAAATGTCTTAGAGTACACATGCTACAGGGAAGTCACTCATCACACCAGTTAAGTACTTATCTTCTCAATATTATCATAAACCATGGTCTGCTGTTCATCAACTTGTCAAATGAACAATGAGTGGACTAACCCCTACATAGTTTCATTGTGTTAAGAGTGCATTGTGTTAATAATATCTTGTATTGTCTTTGCTTATTGAAAATAAGTATTCTAACAAATTTTTTTGGAAAGAGACGGCAGTGCTTACTTAAATTTGAGTTGAGTTTAGTGGTTAATGAACTCTTTTGTTTGGTTTTGATACATCATTTAGGTACCGCAAGAACATTAAAGCTCTTTTTGTGGTGCACCCATCCAGCACTATAAAGTTAATATGGGCAACCATTGCCAAAATCGCCAGGTACAAAGAGACTTTACCAAATAAAGTTGGTGTCTTAACTTTTTGAAAAATATTGAGTCACAGTAAATAGACTTGAAACTGCCTTGATCCATTTTCTTATCAAAAGTATTTTTCAAGAGAAAGGTTAGCATGTAACAACTTACAACATGTCCCCATTTTTCACATTGCTGCCCTCAATAACAATTAGCCAGACAAGTTTGAATTTGTGCAACATACTGCAGGTCTAAATTGGCCTCCCTTTTTAGTCAGTGTATATTGTTTAATGTTAAATCTATAAATTACATTAGAATCAACCATAACAAAAAATACTTCCCTACAAGTAACAAAAGAATTTTTGATACAATTTCTTTTATTTATTAACGGCAGCTTAGAAACTTCTTGAAACAATATTATAAGCAACGGTATATTATCAGTAATATTTTGGATATTAAATTACTTTAAGTTCAGTGCTCCAAGCTGCAACCATTGTAGCTTCAGCACTATGGTTAGAATTAAAACATTTTAAGCTTGGAGCCTGTAATGTAATCACTGGGAGGAAGCTGAATGTTTCACTTTAAATTATCATTTACCTATGAACACTACTGAAAAAAATTAATTCAGACCTGTATGGGATTTGAACCTATGACCTCTGCGATACTGCTGTGCACAGTGATCTACCAACTGAGCTAACAAGTCAGAGTGCTGCACCAGTATCACAAAGGTCATGGGTTCAAATCCTGTACAGGCCAGAATTTTTTTCAGGCCTTATTTCAACTACTAGTTCATTAGTGTTCATAACTGCAAGGATTGATTCTATCTTCATTTCTTATGTTTACAGCCATAATCATTTACTTGTTTAAATTTTACTCTTTTTCTTGTAAGTTTTTTATTTTATTCTATTTTCTGTTTTTGTTTTTTGTTTTTGTTTCAGTCCCAAGTTTTCAAGGAAGCTGTGTTATGTGACTCGACTAGAAGATCTTGCAGAATATGTACATCTTGATCAGATCGATGTCCCAGTGCAGGTTGCTGAGTAAGTATTCATTAGGAGGTGTATTCTATGTTGTGGTTCTATTCTTTTTATTTTCAAACTGGTTTGAATTTTATGTTCAATTGATAAAACCATCCTAAGCAAAGGACAGTAAAAATCTGGCTTTTTTGAAAAACTTCAAACCAATGGAACATTTGAACCACAGCATAAAAATAAATAAATTAAACTTCAAACCAGGTTTTTCAAACATAGAAGAAAGAGAACTTCCTCTCATGCAGCAATGTTGGGGCATGTTACAATTTGGTCCATGAAAAGATACAACATAAGCATGATTGCCACTGATCCTGTAAGTTTTTTTTTTTTTTTTCCAGTAAAATGATATTTTCAGTATATGTACCTTGAATTTTAGTTGAAAGCCTATGCAGGGATATACATGGTATGAATTTGAAGTCAAGCCTTTTTTTAGATGATATATACATAGTTAGCTTTTTATCATTGAAGAGCATGAAAAATTCTCCAAATAGCAGAAACATTTTCCATTTGTTTGAATTAGATCCTGCTCCCATTCTATTTCAAAAATTACAGCTGCAGCCATTTTAACTTCCAGAGTATGCAAACTAAAATAAATGAAAAGTACTGTGTGCAGTAATCAATTGAAAATTAACAACATAATTTAGGAAATTTGACTTCCTTTTCAGGTATGATAAACAGATTTCCAGCCAAGTGAGAAATGGTTCCTCAAAACAACCATCAGGAGTGTTTTATGCAACTCCTGATGAAATACCTAAAACTCAGCAGTTTGGTGTTTCTTTGTCATGGTAAGTTTTATACTGACATACAATCAGCATCAGAATTGTTGACACTTTATCATTGAAATTACAATGTTCTAAAATTTTATTCCTTATACCTTACTTCCAGCCCCTTCTCCACCCCTCCTCTCTTCCCCCCCCCCCCCAACATACAATGCAGCACTTTGTTTGGGTGATATTCATCTAAAAATAATTCCTTCGGAGTGGCTACATCCATCTATCCATGTAGTTTTACTCTAAGTGCAAACCTGTTGTTGCTTGAATAGCTTGTAGTGTCTTGTAGATAATAACTTTTCTTTGTTAAACATTTAGTTTTTGTTATTGGAATTTGTTCAAGCTAGTTTTGTATGATATCTGGCAGCAAATATCAGGTGCCCTTTGCTGCATAAATGATATGTATCAAAATATTTTGTCTTCAACTTACTGTAAATGTATGATAATACCAAAAACAGGTGGGCTTTGTGACAGCCCACTAGTAAGGGCTCTATTTCTAGACTACCAGCTCTAGACTAGGTCCTTGGCTGGGGTTGTGTGCTATGTGCTCTTTGAGAAGGAGACAATGTATGGTCAAATTAAAAGGCAAAAAGATTTTCATAGGGGCTGCTCTTTACCTTCATATATCATTCTTCTGTTGTTTCAGGATGAGAGAAAACAACAATGGTGAGTGTATCCCACCTGTTGTGTCTACATCAGTGGAATTTTTAAGAGAAACTGGTAAGGATGAAATGAAATTTGTGTGTAGAACCAGGAATCTTCTCTGACTTATTGATATACAAATGTAACTTAATGCTATTGAGGTGATTGCACGAAATTGTGCAGTTTACCTGCCTTTAAGGACATTAAGTTACTCACAACTTTGTCATACTGAGTTTTTCTATTTTGGTTGCCCTATATTTTTTATCATTTTTTTTTTATAATCATCCTTCTCCTTAGGTTGTGAACTTATCAAAACAGAGATATCAATTTGTGAACAACCAAACTCTTTATTACTCATAAATTCTATTAGAAATACCATTTTCTAACAATCACACTGATTTTTCTGTAGCACTTGAGGTTGAGGGCATTTTCCGACGGTCTGGCAACATAGCAATTGTCAAAGACATCACTCAAATGTTCAACAAAGGTACATGATTATGTTGGTTTTTTTAGATAAAAAGAAAATTCTCCAAATTGGCCATTCTTTGGCTAAATCTGTAAATACCTTAATCATGAACTAGTACTAAATATATTATTATGTTATGGTTGGTCCACTTATGTTGTGTTCCATTGAGATAGACAGTTTCAACTGCAACCTGTTACTTAAAGTTGAGGCTATAAGCTAGTACCTGCAACTATTGCTTCATGGTAAGGCAACTTTTGAGGAAATCTTTAATAAAATCAGCCAAAACCAAATTAATGGAAAAACATTGAATAAAAAATGCAGTTGTACTGCAAGTAGTAAGTTAAGTAGGGCTTAGCAAGTTGAGACTGTTAATTACCATGAAGATTTTTATGCTTTGACAATAATATTGAGCAGGTTAATTTTTTAATTTTAGGTTTATCAGTGCATTATAAAAACCCAGAGGACATTCACTGTGCAGCAGTTATTATAAAGAGATTCTTAAGAGAACTTCCAGAGCCGATTCTAACCTTTAAACTCTATGATACAGTGATTCAAAGCACCAGTAAGTCACAATCTTTCTGATTTATCAGAATTAATGTACAAATGTTTTTTCAAAACACATTGTAATTATCTAGTGGTTATTTAATTTGACTTGAAGTCTGAATTGCAATAATTTGAAACAGATATACTTTTTAACTAACAGTCAAAATTTTTGCACTTATTTTTGTTCGTGTTTTGTTGATGTCTTGTCTAACTATTAGCAATTCCCGAGGAAACCGAGAAGTTAAAGCAGATGTGGCGAATCTTACACCATGAGCTAGCAGAAGAGAACTATATTTTGTTGAAATTTCTCATGCAGTTTTTAAATGAGGTTGGTGTTCATGTGTTACCAAAATTGATAAATGTTTGTGAAATGATTTTCAAATTAATTTTTTGTTCTTAATTTGGTTTAACCATTTTTGTTATAAATAAATATTAAATGAATAAATATCCTCCAATCTCACCAATACTGAGGTGTATATACTATACAGTAACCAAAAAAAACCCAGTTAATTTCTGTCACTATACAAAAGAATGAATAAATTTGCAATGAACTTGCATTGTAGTACTTGTAACAACTGCTACAACCCATTAGGTGACTGAAGAGCTGTTACACTAGTGTAACTAAGACATTTCTACCTTATTTCTTATTCTTTAAGACTGGTGAGTTCTTGGTAGCGAAGACATCTACTATGTTACTGTGTTTGATGTAATTATAGTGTAACATCAGATATATAAGATGCCACAGGGTACAGTCTTTATTCAGCTTCATGTAGGTTTAAACTTCTTTTCCCATTCTTAACAGGTACAGGAACATTCTGATGTCAATAAAATGACAGCAAAGAACCTGGCTATTGTGTTTGGGCCAAACTTGGTGTGGTCCAAATCTCAGGCTGCTTCTCTTGATGCCATGGCACAGATAAACTCATTCACTCTTCTTATGCTGGAAAATGTTAGCTATTTGTTTGAAACTAGCTGATTTCCAGAACATACGTGTATTCCTGTCAGAGGTGTACAGTTATCACATAATGAAGCGTCTATACATAGTCTAGTAGCATTTTCCTGGAAGACCTGTCATTCATTCAGCAGCATCAAGTTTGCAGACAGTTTATATAAGTATTGGATTGTTCTCAAAGGAACAGATGCCTGTGGACCTTACCTCAAAGAGGCTGTATGTCAGGAAATGTGCTGCACCAATTCCACCACAAGTGAAAACCATAGAGTATTGTTATCACATTTGATAAAGGGTAGGGAAAGGGGAGGAGGACCATAGGTAAGAGGAAAAAGTGTTAATTTATGATAATACATCAGCCTGATATGGACCCAATGCCAGATGAGAGCTTATGCAAGACTCCAACTCCTTTCCCATGTAGAAAACCCTGTTCAAGTAGCTGTGTGAAAAATAATTTTGCAAAGGCAATCGAAGGTCTCTTGCTCTGGTCATATTCAGTGAACTAATATATTGACCAAGTGTCAAATCATTGATATTGGCCCTCAGTCAAAATGATTGTATACAAGTCAAAACAACTGGATCAAACAAACAAATAATAACATTGTTCCAAGGGTATGGCTTCTTCCTATCTCCCTGAAGCTCTGGCCCTATTTTTTTCTCCCTCTTCTTACAGCAAGAAGAGGAGAGAACTTGGAAACAAGGTTTGTATACAACTCAAGACTTTTGGTAAATAACTTGTCAAGCAACAACTTATCTTTTGTTTCTCTTGTCTCTCTGACTAAGTATCAGTGCACTACCAAAGACTGTTCTAGTAGAAACAAGAACAAGACAAACCAGGAGACAAAAATTTGTTTGCTTATTGTTTTTCATGTTACACAGAAAGTTTGCCTGTATGCCTCTCTTATATGTTCTCCACCCAGTACCCATTTCTTGTAGTTTGCATTCAAAGATGTCAGACGATAACCATTTACCATTCAAGTTGTAAATGTTTGTAAGCGTTACCAATTTTGTGTGAACATAAAGATGACAAAATGGTTGTAATGTTGATAAACTAAAGATAGTTTTTACAAAGGGCAGAGCGAGGTATACAAATGCCTTTGAAAGACCGTCACTGCTTATTCCAAGTCTCCAAGTATGATATAAATAATTTATTTCCATAGTTTAACAGCTTACTAGAAAATATTACTGAAAGAAATTAAAATAAATACCCAGTCAGAGCTTATATAAATTAATTTTTTTTCATATGTTTTGCAAATCTCCAAGTACGATTTTCACCCTTTACTTGTTTAAACAGAAAATATTACAAACGAAATTAAATAAACAGGCAAAAAAACAAAACTATTGTTTGAAGTTTTGGCAAGTGCTTCTACACTATATTCAACACAGTTTTAAGTAATGCACCAAACATTACTTCTGTGATTTCTAACTTGCTAGATTCTGTTCTTAGTCCTTGATGAAGGGAGCACCAAAAACACTAAGTTGCTGGGGTCCAAAAGCAAAAGTTGTCAATGGACCTTGGTCTTATGTCAAGCAGTGTATCAGAAGTATGGTGCAAACTTTGTATGGTGTACATAGATAGAGTTCAAAGACCAGCCTCTTACAGTAACTCTGTAAATCAATAGTCTTGATATGTTAGTTAACTTCAATTTTTGAAACTATATGTGTATATATGTATTGAAACTTGTATATCTCTTCAAATAGCCTTCATTCAACTGACAACCTTGAAGTAAACTCCTGTCTTGTGTTCACTAAGACCAACTTTTTATTCCAAACTTTAAAAAATGTTTTTCCCATGAGCAGGACATGTGAACCTCTTTACACAAAGTATCACCCTACCAGGTGGCTTATGAAAACAATATAACTATAAAATAACATTAACACACTACTACATCAAATCTTTTTTAATTTGCTTCATTTCACATATTTACAAGTTGTTGAAGGAAAGTTGGGAAACTGTTTTTAACTTACAATGGTTATACCAACCCATTCAAACCTCATATTGAGAGGTGACATTTTCAAAATCACTGTTCCCACTGATAGACAGAAAAACCTTGAACCTTTCCAGTATTCATCTATCCCATTCAGTACTCATGGTAGGTCTGGGATACTTAGGTCAGTTTGCATATACGAAGGAATGTCACCAATCTGTGAAGCAAACTTAAATACTAATATTAATAGCTTAAGATTTAAATCCTACTGGCAAAAGTTTTACTGCTCACAGAGACAGATAGGTTTAGACATTTGTGGCAAATCATCCAAATTCTTCACCTTCTAGTCAAACAAATAAAACTTAACTGCCAGTAATGGTCATGAAAAAATTGAAACACACTCGATATTCTTCCAGAACTTAAATTTTCCTTTATTAAATCATTCTCCATAGTTGGAGCAATATAGGAACTGTGAAGGATTGAATAGGAAAAGCTCAACTAATTTCACTTACTCTTGTACACACTTTCAGTTTCCTTGCTTGACTATTTATAGCTATACACACATACACAGGAGTAAAACTTGGCTTGAGAGGTGCCAAACTATTGACCCCACTTCTTCATTATGCCCTATGAAACTAATAGCCTTTTATTGTGAAAAAGAATGATGATGAACAGTTATCCATCTAAATTTTCAGTAGCTAATACAATAGCTTCAACGTGCATCCTCGTCATTTGTACATAGCCCCCTTTATAGCTTGTAACTGTACTATTTTTAAAAGATTTCAGTTGTAACATACATTATGGTCTGGCTTCTTTATTATACAATCAGCATACACAGGAGATATTAGTACAGGGCTCTGGGGAGAAGACTCCAAAAACTCTATGATTTACTTAGCTTCTCATTGATGTTTACTAATTTAAGATAAAATTTTTTTTGGCCATTATGCTGCTGTCATGAAATTCCACCAAAATCAACCCCACTCACATAAGTTTTCAAAATTTTACAGCTTATATCATTCAGTCTAAATTGGTAAACCTCAACTTCCTCCTTCATCAGTGTGTGAACTTTCATTACCAGAATTACTTGGTGAAGGTGTATCTGTCTGAATAGCAATACTCTCTGGGGAGATGCGTGATTCAATGCTGCAGTCATCACCATTAGAGCCACTGTCCCCATTGCCTGGGTCTGTTTGACCCTGTCCTGAGAGATCTTTCCTCATTCCATTAAGGAAAGGAAAACCCATTGGAGGTGCTTGATATCCATAAGGGGGCATTGCTGGAGGAACATATGGAAAGGGGAAACCAAATGGGAGGTTGGGAGGAATTCCACCTGCTGCAGATGGCATCATTCCAGTGGGCATTACTCCTGGGGGCATCATCCCTGATGCCATCATCCCAAATGGAATCTGTCCAGCACCATTAAATGTTGATGCAGAAGGTACAGGTACACTAGGATGCAAGACAATTGGAATGTAGTGGGTACCAGCTGGATGAAGTGCATATGTTGGAGCTGCATATGAAGGAAGTACAAATGGAGCACGCAGTGGAATGTTTCCTCCTTGTGGAAGCATAGAGGGACATGTATTAGCTGAAGAGCTAGTTTCATTTGCACTTCTGTTTGTAGTCCTACTGCTGACACTGCTGCCATTTGTTCTGTTGCCATTGTCACCTTCTTTTCCTGTACTTCCTGGCATCTCTGAAAGGTCATCTTCCAAACATATTGCAGAGTCACTCTGGGTTTCTCTGGCATTGTCTGAGTTGTTATCATTGTCACTGCTGCCACCTGATGTACTGTTCCCATTACTGCTGCTGCTCTGTACCTTGTTATTGCTGCTATGATGTGCATGAAGTCTGGCTCTCTTGACTTTCCCACCACTCCCACTTCCACTCATTTCACCCATACTGGATGATGTGGATGATGATGATGAGATAGTACCCTGAAAGCTTCGCTTTGATGTGTTGCGCTTTCCATTCTCTGTACTGGCCTTTCCTTTGGGATTCACATCTTCTGAATTTGATGAATTTTCAGCCAACAACTGGATTTGATGTCTTAAATGTGCCATAAGTCTTTGAAAACAAGGCTGTTGCATGTCCATAGCTTCCACATTGACCAGAAAACGGAAGACTTCTTCTGTGCAGTCCTTGTACCCTCCAAAGTGATTGACAGGCTTGACTTCAGTATTGGTGCTGCTGCTCTTTGGTTCTGCAGTGGCTTCTACTGAATTTTTATCATCTAAAAGAATAAAGTCATCAAGATAATCAGTTAGTTACAGAGTAAATGTTCTTCGGTTTCTTTTTGCACTTAACTCATTTTATTCCAGCCAAATATAAGAATCCATCAGGTATGGCATGTAAAAAGAGATTGAAAACACCCACCCTGATTGCCAGCTCGAAAAAACATGTCAGTCATGGGTTATGTATAGAAAGTAGCCCAAAACAGGAGATAAACTGGAATTGCACAATATTGTCATGGGAATTGCACATTATTAATTTGACTTGATAATTCCTAATCAAAGTAAAGGAACGTTTCTGTGGGGGATAACCCAGCATCAAACTTAACCACCAAAAATCAATACCATAAATAATAACTTGTCAAAACTGCATTTGTTTCTTTCCTGTTTTTGGCAACTCAGGTGTGCTGCCTAATGGGGGAAGAGTTTATTTGAGTGCAGTGACCCATATATTTTTAACAAATTTTAACAGGGAGATTTCCATCATGAATCAGAAACATTCAAATATTATGTGGGAAAAATTCAAATTTCATGGCCCCTTCATTGCATGACAGTTCAACGGAAGAAATTCACATCAACAAAAGAATTTCAATCGGAAATTTTTTTTTTTCATCGAGCAAAATATAGTTTCTGAAGCTGTTTTAAATCAAAGTTGTAGCCCATATGATATATTCCTGAATTTGCACTGTATGCCTGGATGCATAACTTCCCAAAACATCCTCATTGTCTTGCATCATCAATGCTTGTCATGCTCTTAGAGTAAATGCAAAAGGCCATCCTTCAAGCAGATAGGGTGTAATAACCAAAAAAGTTAAGGTTGACACATGCCACAAATAATTCTTCAGATATCTGTAAGAGGTAGTAATGAAGGGCTTCATAGCTAGCAAGTTAGTTGCTACAACAAATTTATAATCATGTAACCCACCTTCTGGTTTGATCTCTTTATCCTGCTTTTGGGCCAAACGACCTTGAAGAGCCTTTAAGTACTCCACAGTCAACTCCAAAATCTCTGCCTTCTCAAGCTTGCCTGATCCCTATGGTATTGATTTCAAGGAAAAAAAGCCAATTGCTAAAACAAGTTATCTTCATATGTTTCATACAGCCAACAGGTGATCAACTATAAATATCATTCTAATAATAATTCAACAGAGATAAACTGTTTGCAAAAACTATTTATTTGCATGAAGAGATCCTGGAGAGCAAATGAAAGGAGCTAATAAATTAAGGGAGATATATTACCAAATATCATAACCGTTACAAGGACAAGACCTCAGTTTGGTATGATCATCATCAAACGAGTCCCTTCAAAATCCCTTTTCTACCACCTCATGTTCACATTTTTTTTTTCCCCTCCTTCCCAGTAGTTGTGAATACCTTGCATAAATTGAATATTAACCCCCACAACATACCTGTTTGCTGTTACACTGAGCTGGAAGCAGCTGGGAAAGTTCCCCCAAAGATGTGTTGATGCGATCTCTGCGCCTCTTTTCAATCACTTTGTGAGAACATTCAGACTACAAAGAGACAAATTACACATTCCAAAAATTCCATTTTCATTACCTATATCACTTCACCCAACATATTCATTTCAAGTTTTAGCAAATAAAGTAAAACTGGAAAGAAAAAAAGGGAGTCAGTAATTATTTCTTTACCCTTGGGGTCAAAATTGATTTCACTTAATTTTATTTTAATACATCTTTCCAACTTCATTTAGCTTGAAATTTACTCTTTTTCCTCCCTTTGGATTAAAACTCAATTTTAAAAAAAATTATATTTTGACCAACAGCTGGGATACAGAAGACACATCTGAATAGTAAAGAATCTTAGCCCATCGTGCTTCATAAGCTACACAGATGTACAATATTCTGCCATGGTTTACTGAGTGATATGCAGGTAATTGGGAATTCCCAAAAAAAATCCTGCACAATGGACTTCGGATACACATGTAAAACCAAAAAATAAAATAAAATAAAAGAAAAAGATAATAAAATTATGTGATATTGAAAAAAAATTTAGGCAAGATGATCTCCAAACAGATATTACCAAATTTGAAAATGACGGAACGTTATCGATTTATTTTCCTCTCAACTCAATCGATTGGAAAATAATTTCGTCAGATGTGGGGTGTGAGGGAAACTCTACTGAGAATGTCCTGTTCTGCACCCGTCGGCCCTATACACTTCCGAATTGGTATCCTGTGCCAAATACCACCAAACTTTACACAACCATCATTAAATCTGTTCAGAAACTTGAACATTATTTTCAAACATTATTACAACGTTAAAACTGACGACAGGTTACAAAACTAAACAACTATATTTTTCATAGTTCATAACTCCTAAAAATTGGTTCTTACCCCTCGGTCCCTTTGTTTCTTAAGTCCTGTTACTTGTACCAACAATGATTCGTTTCCTTCTCCACACTGTGACTGATCTCCATTTGAGCTTAACGCATCATCTGGAGTAGCAGACTCGGATCGTTTGGAGCTCGACTGTGATTTTAAAATGCTTGATTCGAGACTCTTCATTTGAGTTGATGGTCGAAAACTGTTTTCGGAAGTGTCGCTGGAAACACTGACCCTTGAATCGTTTAAACAATTCGATACATCTTCCATAACAACATTTACGGATCGCCTGGCGTTTGATTGAGATTTCAGGTTACCTTTACCAAAGTTCTTTTTCGGCGTCGAAGGACGGAAAGAACTTCCCGACTCATCGTTGGAGGAATTGACATTAGTGATATCAGCCGTGGTGGAAGTGAATAGTAAGATTATTTTCACAGAGAGTTCTTTAGTAGTTTATCCGTAGACTGATGGCAAAACCTGCTTCTGTGACTCTCAGTTTCTACAGAATTTCTAGATAATTCAGACAACGATTTCAAGACATCAAAGATATGAGAGTCGTCAAACGTAAAGAGATTTCCTGTACTACACATGTTCTAGTAAAAACACGAGACTTGAATTCAGAACACGCGTCCAGGTTTGCACCTTCGTTATATAACAAAACAAGTGACGGATAGCATTAAGCTACAGCTGATCAACTGGTGTACTAAATTATACCAGTAGCCGCAAATCGTTTCTATAAATGAAAATCCGATCATTTTAGACCTAAAGGACTAAAAATTTATGAATTAAAGTAAAGATCCTCACTCTGCATTCGAGTTTTAAGCTGAGTTGTATAATTTCCGGTGTGCGTGATGATCGATACTCGTGTTGATTTCTCTCGTCAATTAACTCCCAAGCCTCTGCTAAAGTTCACGGCCGTTCGTGACCGGAAGAACGATTTTTAAAGAAAAATATACACCCCAATAGCAAAGAATTTAAACTTAATTTCAAGCAAGAATTTATGGTCGCGAAAAGTGTACAGTGCATTAAAGTTTGTTTTAATGGTAGTGTAGGATCTACCTTTTCCCTGAGTTTTGCTATTTGGATCGCCTAAATTTTACTTTTTCCGAAAGAAAACATTACGATAGATTTCGACTAACACAGTGTCGATAAGACAAATGTTTGGCGCACTTTCCCGCAAAAGGGCTACACTTCAAACGAAGATCTCCATTGCTCAACTATGGCGTAGAATGTGACTTAGCCTCTTCAGTGATGGGTTGGTTATGACATTTACCCAAAGTATAGATGTGGTCACACGACCCATAGACGGCACGTGTTTCTGCTATTCACTGACCAACACGTGAACTTAAAGTCATTCCCAGGCCCTCTCGGGAAAGCTTCATGCAGGTCACGTAACAAACTTAAAGGCATTCAGATTTCAGATTTTAGCACTTTTAACGGTAGGTTTTATGTCAAAAGCGGGGAGTTTTGCCCTCTAGTTGTCTATATCCACCATTAAGTGCAATAAAATGAGTCATGTCCTCGATTCGAAACAGACAGAATAAGCGTGGATAGACGAAGATAGATTAGAAAATTTTACAAAGAGAGGCCAAGTCAGCGCGTTTAAATGCCTAACTTTCTAACGTAAAGGGAGTTCCTCTTTTACATCAAAATGTTGTCAGACTTCATTAAAACGCTTGTTTTGTATCCTCACAATGCTAACGAGTTACTACTTTTCATCATCATCATTTTTTTTAACAACACAAAAAAATTAATCTACAGTATACTAATTCATAATAAGAACTTTAATTAGACCTCAAGAAACCACCAGGATCATGGGAAAGGCCACTTCAATTACAACAATATATCAAAGAAAAATAATAATTAGTGTTGCAAATGTGCGGCTTGAAGATTTACTGCATCAGCTGTTTGTAAGACATTCTTCCCTCTCTCCCAACCTGATTCCCCATAGGTATGGCAAGATCTGTCTGAACTTCTCTTTGATGAGATGTTAAAAATTCAAGCTTTTGGCAAAAATCTTTTCTTTCCAGCAATATTTTGAAAATTCAAGATCTTCCGACAGGCCGCCATCGACTCGTCATCACCAACAAGATACCTTAAATAACCGGCCTTTCCTAGGCATTTTATCCTTTCATTATAACACCGAGATGCGTGAAACAGGGCATTTAAAAATTTTTTCATTCTAAGAGTGGAATCCACTGCATAATCATACAGGCCATAAATTTGGCTTTAAATGTATACTTACGTGTCTAAACAAAGGTTTTATTTACTTTTAGGGTTTCCGCCGACGAAACTGGCACCTGTTTGGCGGAAACAGAGAATCGAATGATAACTGAGGCCTTTCGTTTAAAACCTTATTTAAAGAAGTAAGCAGAAAAAAAAAGAAACGACCATGTGTTTCTATAACTGAAAACGTGTCTAAAAACGTGTCGGAACTGTACTACCAAAACCAATGATATAATAACATCCAAAGAGTACGGGCACATATATCGAAATTGACCAGCCAGAACTCAAAGTTTATACACGTGAACAGCCTTGAGCCTGAGCGCAGATAAACACGTGTGACCAAGTCGCGGGTGGGGTTAAGTTTGTGAGCATGCAGGGATGTACCCTTCCATCGTTTCCTATCACTGCGTGGCATTATATCTCGTTCCGATTTCTCACAGCTTTAGAAGAGCACGAGACTATTGCGGATGAATCAAGGCTTGTTAGTTAATTTTAAGAGAAAAATTCCGATGGTGAAAAAAATAATAAGTCGACTGAACGAAGAGCTCGTTTGGGCGGACATATTCTCGCTCTGAGACTCAGAATTTGATTCTGGCAGGGCATTTTTATACTGACCAATCACAACTATTTGCAACCGTTTTAATTGTTTCAACTTCTTCATTCGTCGCTATCATTTTCGTTTTTAGATTTGCGGCCATCACTTTCGTGTTTTCTTTCTGTCTTAACTTACATACAAAATAATTGTTGAATGCTATCCAGGATTGTGTTGGTTTCTCTCCCCTTCGCTCTTTTATTGGTCAAGAGAACTTAACGATCGGATGCAAAACTAACACTAATCCTGTCCTAATCACTTGTATTTTCACGCGCTTCAAGCCATTCAATGGTTTTCATTTTGAGTTCTCACTAGCCGCTTAGGATATTTTCCTGTGCTCTAATTTGACGAGGGAATTTTTCGGATTTTGTTTTAAGATACACTACTGGAAAGCGCCCTACATGTAGTTGTCTCCATATAGAAGAAAATTTTGCGCGACACAAAGGACTCATTATCAAGTTATCTAAATCCTTAAATATATCCATTAAAAGGTCTTTGGGCAAACCTTTCAAATGCGACCTAACTAAAGACAGGAAATAATAACGTGAAAAGTGCAGTTCTTGGGCATGTTTTGCACAAGAGAATTTCAAATTTGAACAATGAAGTTCAGATGTTTTTCAATATCATCGTCCATAACGTGAAGCGACTCGAATTAATGTTTAGAACCCAGGCCACCACACACATTCTCGCTCTAGCCTCGTCTTTGATTCTTTAACCCTTTAAATAAATATATATATTCTCGTCACTGTTCTCCATATGTTTGTTATTTAACTGATTGAGAGAATTTGTACAAACATCAAGACATTTCATCTTTGGTAATCATTTCATTCATTCTCATGATCTGTACATTTGATCAGGCAATGATATTGTTAGGAGAAATTAGATGCTGGTCACTATTGTAGCCTAAAGGGTTAATATCAGTAAATGAACAGTATTATTTATGCCACATGGGAAAGACTATCTGTATGTGTATGCCGTAATTGAAATGTCTGTTTCCTTGAAAACTTCTTCTACAATTCTCTTTACAAAAGGCCAATCAATTCTGTCTGCTCCAGTCCCTAAGCGGGGAATAGCCAACTTATCAACTCCATTCTCCTGGCAGTGCTTCCTCAACTGCATCAAACAGCCGCGCATTGATGAGGGTGTGGCATGGTCCCACCAGTTTTCTCTGGTGATCTGCAAGCCAGTCAAAACAAATAAGAAAGTAAAGTGTCATATTTTTTTGACCTTCAATACATTTGACATAAAAATTCGTGAATAACGGGATAATATGATCAGAGTTAAGAACTCTACCTATTAGATTTTATGATGACTTGAAATTCTCCCATTCAAGTGCACCCGGAACATTGGTGTCACGTTTAACAACATGCTGAGCTATGGGCACCATATCACCGATATTTGCAAGTCCTGTTTTTTCACAATCGTTATCTTTATCGTATCAGAAAGAATGAGTTTAAAGATCATGCCAAGATTTTAGTACATACTTTTGTTACTTCAAGGTTAGATAACTGTAACTCTTTACTATTTGGTCTTCCTTCCCGTCTCATTTACAAATTACAGCTTGTACAGAATTGCGCAGCTCGCCTAACTTTAGGTGGTCGCAAGTATGATCATATTACGCCACTACTTGAAAAGCTTCCTTGGCTCCCATTTGAACATCGTACTGTTTTTAAATTGCTTCTAATCACTTAAGGCTTTACACAACTTTGCTCCATGTCATATCCGTGATCTGCTTCACAACTATGCCCCCAATAGGCGATTGAGGTCACCAACTTTAATCTACAAACTCATCCATCGAACCTAAAAGAACCTAGATATGAAAGAGTCTCCCTATACACATCTCATTAGCTCTGACTAGTGTTAGTTCATTCAATTCGCCTCTAAAAAATTACCTTAATAAACGATACATTTTATCTCATGAGATCATTAGTTTTTTCAATTTTACACTATCCTGTTATTGTGAAGTGCTTTAGAACTTTTTTAAACAGTGCCATATAAATGAATATTTTATTATCATTATTATCATTATAATTATCATAATTGTTATTACTATAATCCTAAAACTTGCATTTCCCTTTTCTTTCGAACAAATGCTAAGATTAACCAGGGGGTCAAGACCAATGGAAAACTATTGGGTGCAGTGAAAAAAAGTTTTAGAGGTCCTCAGTGTAGAAAGTAACACTTTACTAACAGATAGAGAAGAGACAAGATAAAGCATTTCTCCCTTAACAAAAAACTTACCAAATAGTACACAAAGCTTGATTCATTTCTCTCCAACACAGCAATGTCACCCACTTTTCCTTCTTCTTGAAAATACAGACCTGTAATTATAAACATTTACTTGTGAGCATAGGACAGTCTGTATAACATTCTTAACACAGCACATAACTTGGATGTGAAATGGACAACTGACTCATACAGTGGGTAGCGTGCAACATGCTCTTATATGCAGAAGAAGTATCTTTTCATAAATAAAAGAAAAAGGCACTGCACTTGATTTGTGATATCTGTTTTGTGGTAATGATTTTGGGAAAAAGGTGACAAACCAGGTCTTTAGCACAGTTTGTGTGGGTCTAAGGCTATCAGAAAGTTAAAAAATTATGGAAAGTTTGATCACTTGTCGAGAAAGATAAAAAAAATTACAAAGTACTCCTTTCTCAGTAGCACTGAGCAGTTTCCATACATTTCTCACCCCTGAGCTCAGTACTCAGCCATAGGTATTCAAGTACACCTGTGATCCTCTTTTGCTTCAGACTTTGTACTCAAACTTGTTTTCAAAATGGCCACCACAAAACAAACCTCACAAAAAAAAATAATCCATCTTTTGTTAACATTAAAGTACTTGGTAAGTGTGGGACCTTTTGTGGGAAGCACCAAGTTGGCTGCAATCATGATCATAGATATTTTCAAACAGAGACATTTTTTCTGGCGTTTTCATGACTTACTAAAAATCATTTCCAGAAGTTTATATTTGTATTGTCGTGTAGCAACATTCTGTCTATTTTTTTGGTGAATGTAATCAAGGCCATTCTTGAGATGAATTTGACCTGTCTTACTTATTACCTACCCTTTGGCACATGGCAAGACATGATGCATAGACATTTCTTGCTCACAAATCCCATTCATAAAGGAATGTTGAAGATCACAATTCAATAAGGCAGGAAGGACAAAATTATCATTCTGAAAAAAGTCACTATACGGTTCCAGAAAGAAGACAACATGATTTTATTTAGCACACGACCTTGTTAACAAGAAAAAGTTAACAAAACCTTTTGTGACAAGATCCTGATAATTCCCAAACTTCTTTTTAAACTTCTTAGCAATACCATCACTCATGTCAAAGTCTGCACTGACACAATGGGCCAAAGATGTGCTTGGATCAGGAGTCAGTACCACCCTTGACCAACCACTCATTTCAACCAACTCAAAGTGGTTTGTGTTCTAAAAAATAATGAAGAGCAATAATATTGTTATATAGACTGAAGAAAGCTGTGTTAATTCTGTTACCCCTTGGAGTGACAATTATGAAATTTCTTCTCACAACAGAAATACCTTTTTAAACAGAAAGGTAATGGAAAAAAAGAAACCTATCCATCTTAAAATGGTTTAGGAAGGCTCCATAGGGTTCTTTTAATGTACAAGATCTGGGTGCAAACATACGCAAGCTTTAAAAGTGTCACCATGCAAAATAAACATGGTGGCTTGATACAATCATCTGAAAAGGTGAGTTAAGAACAGTTTAACACAATACAGTTTTTATGTAATGAAATCAAGTGTTTCCAGCAACTGCACCCATAATATTCATAGGCCTTCTATGCCTAATAAAGAGGTCAACCAAAAAGAAAAAACAGTGGGAAAGATTGCCAAAAGGCCACAGATTGCAACAGATTTGATAATGTATACATGCTTAGATATAGAACTTAGCAAAGTTCTATCCCATTACAAAATGTTTCCTGACAAAGAAAATAGAGATCTTTTGAGCAAGATTTATTATGTTCCCTTCTGTGGAATTTCCTAAGATTTGCTGGACCATTAAACATATTTGTGCCCTTCCTAGTGCCTTGATAAAAAAAAATTCATAAAGACCAAATTTGAAATAGACGAAGAAAACACAAAATTGCAAATGGCGAGGAAACTGCCCCTAAAACCCCTATTTTTTTCAGCTTTTAATGATCTGCAGAACAAATTTTACAAATTGTGAAAATTTTGGTCAATTTCACAGAAGCAAATTGAAGAAAATCAAAGGCAAAGCCAAATTATCTCTGGCAAGTGCCTCCCTTCATAGAGCCTTAACTTAATAATGAAAATCATTTTGATAATATATACTAAAGCAAATGATAGTCTGAACCTTGCTCGACACCCTTTTGATGGCCTTTAGTGACCTAGGAAAGTGGAAACATAAATATTCCTAGAAAAACAATAAGTTGGTGCACACGCCAATATTCAGCAAAAACCCTATGGAGCCTCGAGCTCTTTAAGTAACATCAAATTTGATATATTTTATATGTAAGGGACCTGAGGTGGTTCCTGAAGACTACTGTATTTTTCTGGTAAACAGAAAATTAGTTGGCTCCATCACAAACATTTTTTCCTTGGTTCACATAATTTTCCTAACAAAAATGTTTGGTTTGTCCTCAAGTCAAGGGGCCAATGCTGCCAAAGCATACCCAGGTTTCCATAGCATAATGTCAAGATAACACATTCCATCAAAACTAACACATTTGTTTATTCTCACCAGCTGATTGCTATATAATGTATCGAAATTGAAAGAAGTTAAATATAAACCTGTATATCACTTAACCCTTTCAATGCCATGATCTCTTTAGTAATTCTGCCTACTATCTGCCAAACACTGCTTACAGTTTTAGTTTGGAGAATTCGGTATTCAATCAAATGATAATCCACTAATTTATATTTTTCTATATTCTTATCACTTGTTCACTTGAGATCGTGTTGATATTTTAAGGAGAAATTGTGTCTTGGTCACTATTGGGAGTGAAAGGGTTATAGGGTTATAAGAAGCACAATATTTAAAAAGGCAAAGTCATTCAGTAATAAAAGTTATTCTAATGACTAAACAAATGAGTCCCTTTGAATAATGGAATTCATGAACAAAAGGTATCCTAGGGGGATATATTCCCAAAGAGTTGATTAATGTGTTGCTTAGCAATCAATTGACAATCGACCTGATAGATGGTTGAATATCAACTTAATTGACCAAAGGTTGATCAATGTTTTTATAGACATGCTGCTGCAGACAAGCTCTTGAGACTATGGCTGACTATCATTTGAGTGTAGCTTAAGTTTTAATTGACTTTCAGTACCGGCCAATGATCATTTGGTACATAATTTGATTGACTACCAAACAATATACAACAGTCAACTGTTCACCAGTAAGTGAACAGTTCACAGTAAGTGATATATCAACCAAGGTTACCTGTTCAGGAGCCTATCAGCCGATTTCTATTGATCTCAGTGATATTATAGAAATAAATACCTTCAAGTTGCTAACTTTGCTTGCAGAATCGGTGGAAAAGAAACATCGAGTTGCAAGGATGTAGATAGGTCCCTTGGAGCCAAGCAAAGCTACAGAAAAAATATTTGAAGTAAACAAGTAGAAAATAGCGCATGTCTGTCGAAAAACACGGCCTCTATCCAAACTTCGAGCATATGTTGACTACCACAACATCTTCAGAAATGCATTGGTCGTAAGTACAGTATCCAGTGAAATTTTAACGCCCTTTCAAATACATTTTCTGTTCTGGATGGGAATAGTTTCTCGTGTATTCTTTCGAATTCCTTGCTCTTCTTTTATCCACTGACACATGAATTTGGAAAAGCTATAAATTTATCTTAGCATCAAACGCTGAAATGAGATGTTTCAAGCCTGTCGAAACAGCTAAAAATCAAAGTGGCCCAAATGACTAGCGTGCCCATCGCTACAATAAAGAATAAAAACTTACTAAGCGCTTTCTTGTGCGACATGTCGTCTTTTAGGGAAATACAGAGTACATGTAAAATTTGACTTAATGTCCGTACAACGAAACTTGGTGACTTTCGACAAATTCTACCAGGCGTCCAATATTTCCCAGTCTCTTTCAACGATACTCATCCCCAGTCACTTCTCGATCTTTTATCAGTTTTTCGTCGGGTAAAAAAGACATTATTCAGTCTTCCCAATCTGTTAACGGGTTATACAGAAAAATGAAGAACAAACTCGGCAGTCAAATTTACAGTGTAACGTGTGCAAAATATTGTGAGTGTCATTGTTTTCCAATCATTTTTTTTCCCAGAAACCCTTATAACAATCAGTTTGCTCGATTCTGATAAACTAATAGGAATATTTTGCTCTACCATTTCAGATGGGTCAACTGAGAGGTCGCAGCGAATGATATATTACGCGTTTTGAAAGTTTTGGATTTAAAGAGCGATTGCACATTGAATTACGAAATTCGCCGTCTAAATCATTTAACAAAACCCTTTCAAAGTTTCTTAGCGATTTTAACTCTGGTTACTAAGGTTGAGGAAAATGCAGCCAGGAAGGAAACAAAGCAATAATTTAGCGTGTTTAGTTTCGGTGCTTATGGCGTTAAGTATTTGTTTTTATACTAGGTTCTTTTTCTTTCTTTTAACGGTCTTAACGATAGCTGCCGGTTAAAAAACAGCTTCAAGTTAGCGGTTTAAAAAAACACACTTGAGTAAGTGTAGGGTGTGTAATGTTTTTGACTCTTGACTTATTAAATCAAAAGCATCGTACGTTTAGCAAACAGCAGTTAATGCAAACCAGTAGCCTGTGTGAACCAGACAAATAAAATCTCAAATGTCCTATTTTTATTCTTTTATTCGCACGTAGCGCAAAGGACGCGTGCGAGGTTACCGAAGAGGTCGGCGAGTTGACCAAAGGTGTTAGCTGGCACACCGAGCCAACGCCATAGAAGGGTAAGATTTAAAGTGAAGCAGTGAATCAGCTACGGAGACTTCATTTTTCGACGAGTTTGTTGTCGGCAAGTTCACATTTCGGCATTTCAATTAATTCATCCAGGGTTTGGAATAATGGCCAATTTATTTCACTTCAGCTAATGAGCCCAGTCCATGCTCTGATCGAGTGCGTGCGCATTTGTCCGCCTGTGCAGGTCAAGTCAGAAATTTCACGAATCTAGAATTCTCTGAATGCATTGCTTTCACGACTCAATAATTAAATTGGACCAAAGTTATATCTAAATATATAATTACACTGTCTAATTTGTTTATTGCCTTTCGAACAAATAATCATAACCACTAAACTCTTCGGATAATCCAGCTGGCCCTCTATCAATCTTACTAACAACAATAAAATTCCAATGCTCGGTATGTACGTAATCGTATTATATTAAATCTTTGTTATCTAAACCATTATATCCAAAATAAATGACTGCTATTACGTTTGGAAAGGTTCTCCGCAGTTCACTATTAATCACTTTAGAGGGGGCATTATTTTAATCGGCTCCTGGCCACTGACCCCACGTATTAAAGAAACATAAGATTAGAATTCCAATATTTTCATGGCCATCATGACGCTGCGACTATGGTTATCTGAAATGCTTTTCAAAAAGTGCATTTGGCGTACTATGACTGAACGGTTATTTTCTGACGTGTTACTACATATAGCAGGGAAAAGACAAGTAACTCATTGAAAGGAACAGTTCGAGATAAAAGAAACTAAACTGACTTCATGTGACGGTGAATTCCTTCAATCAATCTAAGTTGTTTTCTTTACGGATTTTCGTTATTACTGTTCTAGACAATACCTCAGCTCCCACGGCAATCAAAATTAAGCTGACCTTCACTATGTCAGCTCAGAGGTTCTAAGCCATGATTGTAACGATATCATCAGTTTGGAATTCATCTTAAGTTCACGAAATATAATATTTGAGAGACGTATTCAACCCAATTGTAAAATTCCTTAATAAAGCTGATTATAGGTTCTTTTTTGTCTGATATCAAAGAATAGTACAGTTTAATAGTCAACAGAAATAGAGAAACATGAAGTATGCGTGAAGGTGGCACGTTGACAGCGAACAGATGCGCAGGCAAGCAACGTTTCTCTTTCAAGTGCAAAATATTGCAGTTGCACCAAAGTAGCCCCACTTTTATTGGCATCGGCATCATACTCAAAAGTTTGTCTTCTCCAATAGTTCAATGACTGCCCAATATCGCAAATTATTGTAGGAAGAGTGGCTCATTTGACTTTCATTCACCTGGGTTCAAAGTCCAGGCCCGGCCGGTTGTTCGAAGGTTGGTTAACCCTATCCAGTGGATAAATCTCTATCCGGTGGATGGTGCATAACGTTTTGCTATTACTTATCCTATGAATAGGGATTTATCCGTTGGATACCATCATCCGCCCAGTCTACAGCTGGCCCTAAAAGTCGCAATGGCAGAAAGAAGTCAGCGATCAAAGCAGGTTTAATTGATAGTTGTTCCCTAATCGTCAATGCTGAAGTTCATTTGTCGACGTCGTTCCTGCCCGTTATACCTCTTGAAGTTGTTGCGCATGCTCTTTGGCTAACTCCACTTAAAACAACTTTGCGCGGACTTTGCGCGACCGATAATGACACGCATGCGCACGAGAGGCTTTCCAGAACTTAAGTGGCGCGGAAAGATCTTTGCACACGTGTTTCATAACAACATTGCCCACCAAGGTCACTGCAATATTAATGGGTTTAAATTTATTTTCGGCATAAGTTAAAAATATTCCCCGGGTTCGGTTTTTTTCAATGATAAAAATTTAAGAATGGAAATTACGTAGTCGCGGTTATATCTCAAAAGCTCAAATCCAGTTGGTATGAAAGGTGGTCCAGATATTGAATGTACAACTATGAAATCGAAAACCGTTCCCTTCGTATTGAAATAGGGATTTGACTTGATCAACGCCTTGGATCGATTGCCATTCGATATTGATAATGCTGCGATGAAGCCCTCCTGTTTGCCAAAATTGATATAACTAATTGACTCGTTGCTCTGGGAACATACGGGTACCAGTTTGTTTTGATGCTCAACTTGAGCCATTTCTGGACAAAAATTTGTTTTTTCCCGCGCGGATTAAGCAGCAGGAAAAAACAACAAAACCATGTCTCCTGGTTTGTGATGTATTATGTACCAGTTCTCGATAAGACAATTATTTCATCAGCAACATTAATTGCCAGAAAGTGTTCCGTCAAAGAAATGATAAAAATCGTTTTATCAGCTCGGTAACCTCTCGTCATATCTATTGCTGAAAGCATTGGTAATTAAACACCTCGAATCCATATCACTTTCGCCACATTTTTTTCGAGGTGTATTTTTAATGCCCACAAAACAGCGTCTTAGCCGTAAGTTTTTGCATTGCTTTCTTGTTCTGAATGTCCTAATTTGTCGTTTTGCCAGAAAGTTCCCTGATTTTCACTTTTTGTGTTTTACTCTCCTCATACCTTGTGAGCTACAGCGCTAAATAAACACGACCACCTCGTTTTTCGTGGAAAAGATAGTTTTCACGCAATGCAAGCTATTTTATTTTGGACCCTCTTAAGTGGCCAGTCGAGACAAGATGACCCGCCCCAACGGCTAATGTTATGTTCTCGTGCAGGATGCGAGATTGCTCATTATGCGAGCTGTTAGCAGTACAGCTGGTGCCCACTGATAAACATCCGAACGTGTATTGGCCTCCCTCAGATATATAATTTTGTAGTGCCGTGAAAAATCCGCCAGTAGTTAGAAACAACACAAAGATGGTTTTCCAGCTGTTTTTAGGGTGAAAGGTCATTTTTTTCTGTTATCTGGCGAAACGAAGAAGTGCATACTAAAGTATTCCGTGGGAAATGATAACACAATACAGATTTACTCCCCTGGCGCGGAAAACAGCTTTCACTCATTATAAATTTCCTGTTGTCGAAAGAGGATCAGTCGGAAACTAAATATGCACGAGAAACAGGAAAAGAGCGTTTTGCTCAGCGCAATTGCTTGTTGTTTTCATGTTCTCTCCCTTTAAGCGGACAGATCAGAATTATCCAGGGATATCAAATGCCTACCGGCTACCGATCTGTGGTTCGAAAATTGGAGCTGTGTTCTATTTGTAATCGACGTACTTAAAACAGTGGTACTTAAATTGGCAAGAGACATGTTGCTGGGTCATTACCTCACGATTTCAACTGTTTGACAAAACAACAGTGACATGGGTCAATTGCGTTTAATTCGTAGACGCAGTAGGCATGTTATTCCTTAAGAGAAAATTTATACGTGCAAATTTTCAATTACGTAAAGCCACTGAGGTTAAGAGACAATCAAAAGAGAAATCAACATGATAAACACGTGAATATGCTTATTTCATTGTTTTATTCTTGAGGCAATTAAGTTTTCGTGGACTGGAATTGAATAGTATTTTTGAATAGGATGTATGGTGTTACATGAATAAGACGCAATATTCACGGAGTTTTTAGCTCAAATCGAGCCCACACTAACGCCTGAAGAGTATATCAATCATTCCTAATATGTTTTGTTAGATTGTTGTACCTTGTGTTGTATTGTTTTATTGACCTGCGGTGACCGAAAAATCAATACAGATTTGCACTTTTAAACAAAAACGCCATGAGGGCATTTGTGCTGAATAATCTAAACATTTTTTACATATTAGGGTTCTAAAATAGAAATAAATTTTTTGCTACCATAAGTTACATGGCTTTGTACGATGCCGCTATTTAACACGAATCAGTTTCCAAGAAAATGTAGATATCGGTTAAATTTCTTGGTTAACTTGAAATATGAACTGTCAATCAAATACCGCAGAGTATCGCACTTCTAAATCCTTGTGAACTTGCTTGGTTGAAATGTTATCTAGTCCTAACCCTACATACTTCAAATCTTTAATAACTTGAACTTGAATATTTAGGTAATCTTCGTCTGTTTATGAACTGTAGCATGGATTAAAGGAGGTTTTCAGTTAGCTTCTTTCATTGGGTATATTTAGAACAATGCACTACTAATCATCCGTGACCTTTTGAAAAGTTTACTTAGCCAATAAAATCTTTTAACACTCTCTTAAATCCTTGCGCAACAGACAAAATTCCAATAAATTTCCCGCAAAGTGCCTTTATTCCCATCTCTCTTACAGAGCATCGACGACACGTCAGCGGTTGGAAGAGAAAATCCGAGACGCAAATATACTTGGCAACCTGTCAGCAGATAAAAACTCATTGAAATTTGATCTACAAAAACGCTTAGGTGTCAACACTCATTTTGTCGGTCATGGGCGGTTGGTTTTATGTGCTGGAATGCTTGGCATGTAAGCTTAAGCTCCACCTTGTTCAACTTTAAAGTTAAAAAAAAAGCGTTTATGAAATCGATAGAGCAACCAGTCAATCGTGTGATGCAGAGAACATATCGGATTACTTTTACTTTCAAAAGATTCGGGAAATCGAAATAAAATTTCAATCCTCACGGTTAGATTGTTTGATAGCTTCATAATCGTTTCCGGTCCAGTGAAGGATTTTGCGGTCAAAGATACTCTTCTATACGTCCGTGCCGCTACTCGCTCATTGGTCAGTAAATGAAAGACAGGAAGCTGTCACAATGCACGTTGCCTAGCGTAAGTGGAAAATCTACCCAGCAACGTAGAGACGTCGGTGTGCATATGCCTAATGACGGGTTGTCAATTATAAATTTACAAAATCCCAGATCTCTGGTTCTTTCTGCGCCTAACCTGGCGCAAGTACATTAGAAAGCGGAGCTGAATTGCGCCGGGGGTCAGTCGCGAAGAGGCCACACGCAATAGGTAGAGATTCAGCGGCATTCCTTCCATCCAGTGAAGTATCTGCTGCTGTAATCAAAGCCTGCGACTGCAAACTGGCTTACTTTATATCCCCGGCGCTGTCCATATCAGCGTAGCGCTTTGACTTCCGCTGTCAGCATCGAATCTAGCATGGAACTGTTGTGCTGCGAGGGACCTCGAGTTCGGTACGCATACCAAGATCCAATTCTCCTTCAAGATGATCGTGTTCTGCGTAATTTACTGACTTGCGAAGACAAATACATTCCCAGCTGTAGATACTTCAACATTGTACAGAAGGAGATTGAGCCTCGCATGAGGCGAATGGTTACGACATGGATGCTAGAGGTAAATAAGAACACGTATTTCCTTCGTTAATGCTTATTTTCCCTTGCTGAACTGCGATGTGATGATGGTGCTAAGATTTGTCTCAATTATGAATTTTCCAGGTGTGCGAGGAGCAATTGTGCGAAGAAGAGGTCTTTCCACTGGCAGTGAACTATTTAGACCGATTTTTATCGGTCGTACCAACCAGAAAATGCCAGCTTCAACTGCTTGGCGCTGTGTGCATGTTTATTGCAAGCAAACTTAAAGAGACATCACCGCTATCGGCTGAAAAGCTGTGTATTTATACAGATAATTCCATCACTTGTCAGGAATTACTGGTAAGTATACGATATGAAATACCGCTTTAGGAATATGTTCATTCATTCCTTCTCCAATGTTCGTGTGCTTGCGGTCTGGCAGCTGATTTCAACGAGTTGTCAATCTATCTCCGGCTAAGTGTATTTCCCACTAATTCCCAGAAAACGCGATTTTCGTCATTCTTTTAAGCTAACCTTTTTCCTCTCTTTATCTTGTTCATATAGGATTGGGAAATTTTAGTTCTTGGGAAACTTAAATGGGACTTGTCAGCCGTTACTCCTTACGATTTTCTAGAGCAGATTTTTAGCCGCCTCTCCCTACCCAATGAAAGCGTGATCCGAAAGCATGCGGCGACTTTCATCGCTTTATGCTGTACTGGTAAGACGAGCTTCCTATCTATTTACCTTACAAAGATAAGGGTTATATCTCGGTCTTCAAGACTGTCTGCGTCTGCCCATCAAACCTTAACTACTTTAAAATGCATGCCACACTGAATGAATCTATTTTAGCCCCTTTTTCTTGTTATTTTCCACTTATCTTCTTCATTGTATTTTGACTATATTATATTTTTATACATCACTAAATGCCTTTTTTTTAATTCTCTTAAATTCCGCCTTTATTGTTTTTCAGATGAGAAGTTTCTTATGTACCCGCCTTCCACTTTGGCTGCGTCTTCTATTTGCGCGGCTTTTGCTGGTCTCGCTACAACAGAACAAAAAAGCTTGTGGACAAGCGGAGAACTTGAATCATTCCTACAAGGACTCACAAATATCGAACCGGTAAGGATGAAATAAAATAAAAAAAAACATTCTAAGTTAAAAAGTGTTTGGAATGACTGGTCAGTTGTGCCGTGCGAATAAAGTTTTGCAAAGAGCAAATAAGGAAAAAGCCTTGCGCAAACTTTGATAAAACGCGTGGTTTTTTCACACATTTATCTCTTGTTTAAAGACTCCTTTTTTTTTCCTTTTTTTGCACCAAGAGGCCCGCCTTTTGGTCATTTGATATGTAATCAGCAAGAAAAAAAACAATCTTACTTAAAATAGAACTTTTCTTTACAATGAAAAAAAAAAAACCTCTCAAACAAACAAACTGAAATTGATCTATTTTGGGATTTTCTTGTTTCAGGAATACCTACAATCATGCCAAAGACTAATGGAAGAAGTACTTCATTTTAATGTCACGGAAACTCCATCAGATAAGATCGAAAACGGAAGCACGCCAAGTACGCCAACAGATTTACAGGAAATCCATTTTTGACAGAGGCGTTTAGTAGACTGTCACAGAACCTTCCGTGTGTGTGCCAACCTATCTATCGTGTGTAAATACTGTAATAAAGGACTAGAATTTTCTCAAATTGCTGTCGTCTTTTTCCAAGTGTGTAGCTTGCCAGCACCCGTTTTGTTTTTTACGCAAAAAGCGCGCGAGAGAACTCGCTGCGGTTTCCTTTCTTTTTAAAGAGCACGCACCGACAATTAGAAGTGACGTCTTTGTTCAAAGAATGCGTTTACCTTAAGAGAGCAAATGGAATTAGGGCCCACCGAAGAGTGAAAGGCATTCTTCAAGAGAAAGCAAACATTAAAAATCCCATGGCTTGAATTCGAAATAATAACAAGTGTGTTTTGTGCTGCTAAATGATGTGTTATGTTTACCAACCCACGCGCAAAAAAATGCTACCAATTTGTTGACACCCCTCTTTTTAACACTGTCCGAACCCAAGCGGTGTCAATTAAATGGACAGCATCAGTACTAATTCGCTCAACTTTTGACAGCAAAAGCATGGCCAGAGAAATCGTGCGGTTGTTATTTCAGGTGCGCACTTTCGACATGATATAAACACGCGATGGAAATCTATATTTGCCCTACGTACGTTTCAACCGCGGTGCCTGCCCGCAAACTCTAATGTACACCTGTCTTGAACATAAAGCCACGTGCTAAAAATTCCTCAGATGAATTTTGGAAACGTCATTCTTCAAGTTAACCTTATCTGTTTTCGAAAGTGTTCCTATCTCTGATTTTATAGTTCAGTTTTCTTAATTGCCGATCGCTAATAAGGACACGTTCTCGTTAAGGTGGCACTACAGTTAATTGTTTTTGCGTCACGGCGACAGCCCGGTTATGGTTCGCTGCATGGTGTTGTCTCGCAATGAACATACTGAAGTGCGAGCTATGCGGAGCCAACGTTGTTGTCAGCAAATGTTCCCACGAGTTGGTTAAAAATTCAAATCGATACGGGTCAGGAATTTTATAAAGGCCACCGGTTAGAGGGTACAAAGACAAAAAATTACCTTTTCTTCTTCAAGATTACTGATGATGCCGTTCTGACTCAAATTTCCAGAACTGAATCACTTCTTCCAAAACAATCAGGAGTATTCTCTTACTATTACATGGTCAGACTTCTGAAACTACAACTAAATGCGGTTCCGTTACATTTGCCGCGCTGTTTGCAATACCACTCCACCGAGGCTTTACTATGTATCTATGCATGTCAATATTTCTTTATTATAACTTGTCGACTGAATTTCTAATTGTAAATCTCTAATGTGCTGAGTTGCCATGATGAAATCCTACTTTCCTAAACAGTTACCTGTTCTAAAATTAGATAGTTTTTCCGCAATGTTCAGTTGCACAAACAGCGTGAAAAATTCGAAATATTGAAAACACCCGAACAAGGAATTATATTCCCAAACAACGAATCTTAACTTCAGTGTATACGTAAATGGGAGTAAAGGAAATGACCAATAACTGTATGTCTTCTCATGTCCATAATGATAACTAGACTCTAGATCGTAATATTTTTAAAATAACGGTTTTGTAACTACCATGAAAAAGTCTCTGTTATATAATAACTGAATGTTATGTAATAATCACAGTTAGCCGCTGTTCTTTCAAGAGTTCACTTTTATAACATGGCTCATCACACTCAGTAGATATATTCGTAAGGAAAACAGCCGGTTCGCCTATGAGACTTTTCAATACTCTTGCGTTTAAATTGTGAGGGGAAACTGTGTGTCTGAGATTGTCATTCATACACCTGTTATGGTGTCACCCGCAAATATTACTGGTTGTTACGAAGTTTTAGTTTAATCTGTGTTTTAGAATTTTACCTCGACTGATTGTAGGTAACTGTTTGAATTATCATCCTATATTGGCACCGAACATAGCCAAACAGCATGCAACTGAAAGAATTTTCTTCCCCCGGAGTGTGAAGTTCATGTTTCGAATATACTGCTTTCCTAAGCAGTAATATCAGAGGGAAGCGATAAGACAATTAAAAACTGATAACTTGGTATCAGTTGCTTCTCCAAACATAGTCAACCCTTTCTCAACTTTAATTAGATAATACGTATTCCATTTGAGCCTTCCTGAGTGTCGGCTTAGTATTCAAGTAAATATTTCAGTTTTTAGAAGAACCGGCCACTCTTAAACATTTGCATCGCAGAGATAACTTGGTCTTTTATCAGCATCCATCGATTAAAAAAAAATAACCAAAAGTGCAACGGTGTGTCAATACCAAGGTTTGAACTATCACGCGCCTGCTGGTAAAGAGGGATTTTTGATGAAGTAAAGACTACAGAGCATAATGCAATACATGACGTGAAGTGGGCAATATAGGGATTTTTTGAGGGTTTTTTTTTTTTAGAGAAAACGAAAATCTCTTGATTGTGGAAACTTCTATCTCAAGTTTCCGCCAACGTGGAGAAACTAAATGATACAAGTCCAAAAGTCAGTGAAAAAAGAATCTCGATCAATCTTGATAATAAAATGTGACTGGTCCAATATTCTAAGAACTCACTGCGAAGTTGCAACCCAAGTGAAAATGATAGTCAGAATACTACTTGAAACAAACTTAACCGGGTGAGGTGACCATACATTTGCTCCTAAATACTAAATTTTTTCATCCCGAAAGTTGTCTCACTGAAAAATTCATTCACAGGTTGCGCCGCAACTCTTAATGGAATCTCAGACTGATATGCTCAGCTCTCGAAATAACTCTTAAAACACTTGAACGGAAAAATCTAAGAGGCTTCGAGAATGCTTCTCTCGATAACAAGGTTTTGCATCTGATCTACTCAATCATTGCTCATTCCCATCCATAGCAGTTGCATGCAATTGCGCACAATGAAAAAGTTATTCTATAAAATGCAAAAACTTTTGCTCTAATGTTTCTTCATCTCGAATGATTTTAACTCAGTAGTGTATTCGAGGATTGCTTTCTTGTTCTGTAGGAAATGGGAAGTGCTAGAAAGCTCCGGTTGGTACCGACAAACAATCTAATGACTTTGAGTAGTTTATCCATCATTCACTGCGCTCTTAATTCTGAAGAAAAGCTTTTTCTGAACAACGTAGATTTTGTATTTTCGCAAATCTTTATCCTGCCTCATATCACTTTACCGGTGGGAATTGTATCTCCAGTAGAAAAAAACCGGCTTTCTTTGACTAATCCGAGGTGGCCATCATCCGAAACCCAGTTGTACCTACAGCATAAATTGATTGTGATATGGTTTTAGACGAGCGATGATAGTTTTGTTTTCGCGTCAGTGTGAGAGTAACCTAATGAAAGAACCCCGACCGAGCTATCAAGTCGGACATCACGACAAAAAAAACCTTTTTTTATTAAAATAACATTTTCACTGAAAATTGCATATGTACTGTGCTGTACCATGGCAAGGAGATAAGAGCAAAGGGTTGTCTATGACATTCCGGCAAATTACAAGTCGTCGTGCTTTGATCGGCAAAAAGCGTGAGCTATAGACACTTTAGTAACCCATTCTCTATCTCTTTTTCTCAGTGCAAAAATGCAAAGCTGAAAAAAAGTCAAAAGCTACTGGCTTAAACAGAAACCGTTGATATAACATCTTTCAGTTATGATAGTGCAAATTCTTTAGTACTCAAATCACATAATCGATGCCAACATTGTTTTTTCCAATTTTTTTTTATTCTTCTACATTTAACCTTGGTCAGTGATCAGACGGAAAATGCTGAGGGGTAAAAGTCCACCTATGGACTGAGTTCTACAATCACGAAAGGGAAAGCGATGAAAATCATTTGACAAGAGCTCGGGCGTTGATATCGTTATGTCACTGGCCGGCCTGTATTTACTATACGAACGCAATTAATGTATATAATAGGGTACTATGACTAGTTCTTTCTAATATTTCTTCCAAGCAACGTGAATAATCACTCTAACGATTGCCACTGAGCTACTTTCAAGAATTCGAAGTCGCCCAGTATTTCAAAGAGAGTGATACGATTAGATAATAAATCTCTTCAGTTCAGTTTTGTGGGGTCGACATGATTTATGAGGGATTGAATAGCATAGCAGTGTTAGAGTGAAACACCATCAATTGTTGTCTAACAGTGACAATTAGGTCCTTAAAGGTTGTCTAATAGTCTTGAGTACCGGTTTTATATCGGGAAACAATTTGAATTATGTTGCTAATCAAAGTTATGTGTCTTGGAGGAGTGATTTTGGAATACCACGATTCAAGTCTTCTTAAGGAAAGAAAAGTAAGTCTAAAGGTTGCTTGCTTGTTTATCTTCACCAATAGCATTTTAGTAAGAGACAACCGAGGGAATAAATGGCAACTGCAGATATTACCATGAATTCCACCTGCGTTGAAATGCTACACCAAAAGGCATCCTGTGAAAGCGGAAAGGCTAATTATGAATTTATTCGCAGTAGCTGGTAAACTCAATTACACTGACTGATGAAGACCACATTCACGAGGCTTCGCACGTGAACAAATGATAAGAATTTCAGGCGGCTTTTATTCACTAATCAGACAAGGTTATGCATTGATTGTTCTTCTGCCTTGAACTTGACCCAACTCAGAAGAAATTTGAAAGATGCAATGTCTACTATGTCTTCACGGTAAAAAATAGTTTTCCACAGGATTTAATTTTATCAAGTCATTAAATGACAAGGAGCACAGAATGTTTTCGGCTGAGAGATCACAGACCAAAAGGTCCTGAAAGAAAACGTCTTCTCTCCTCGATACAGAGATAATTAACAGGTAACTGTTAGTAACTGAGGTGAAATCAAAAAGGCCGAAGGGTTGATATAAAAAAAGTTGAGTAATAGAGACCTCTTCAACATAGACGCGGACAAAAATTCGATTTTCGTCGTATTTATGGAGATCCAACTGAAGCGACTCAGCAGTTGCTCAAAATAGGTGTATATCAGATTGAAAAGTACTAATGTAAATAACTGTTTTAATTTGTTTGAAAGTTGTCCAATAATTTACCTTGAGCCGTGAATCAAGCGTGGCTTTTTTATGTCACGCAATGAGAGGGATGAAAACATTTCAACGCAAAAATATATAAACAAATTACGAGAAATTCAGTGTATAATAT